TCATAAGCTAAGGTTTCTAATGTAATTTATTACGTAGGTAGGCATGGTCTTCTATTCTACCCCACAACTTTTTGGTGTGTTTTTTTGTTTTATGTTACCATACGTTTGCGCGCCAACCGCTCGTCCGCGTCCGTCATTCGTTTGTTGGTCATTCAATGTTTTGTGGTGGCAGGTTTCACTCTTTTTCTATATCCTACATGAGATTGAAGAATAACTAATCAGACCTAGGTTGGTAAGATATGAGTTACTTATTTTCAATAAGTAAGCTAAGTCATGGGGTTTGAGATTGAGAGGTTTATTAGTCATTACAATTGTCATAAGCTAAGGTGTCTAAATAAAGTAATTTTTTATGTAGGTAGACGAGGTCTACTATATTTTACCTGAGATTGTAGATAACTAATCAGATATAGGTAGATGAAATATGAGTTAATGATTTTCATTAAGTAAGCTAAGTCATGGGGTTTGAGATTGAGAGGTTTATTAGTCATTACTAGTGTAATAAGCTAAGGTTTCTAATGTAATTTATTACGTAGGTAGGCAGGGTCTACTGTTCTACCGCTCAACTTTTTGGTGTGTTTTTTTTGTTTTATGTTACCATTTGTTTCATCACCATACGTTTGCGCGCCAACCGCTCGCCCGCGTCCGTCATTCGTTTGTTGGTCATTCAATGTTTTGTGGTGGCAGGTTTCACTCTTTCTCTATATTCTACCTGAAATTGTATTATTAGATTAACTAATCAGATATAGGTAGGTGAGATATGACTTAATAATTTTCAATAAGTAAGCTAAGTCATGGGGTTTGAGATTGAGAGGTTTATTAGTTATCACAAGTGTCATAAGGTGATTTATTATGTAGGTAGGCAGGGTCTACTACTTTACCACAACTTTTTGGTGTGTTTTTTTGTTTTATGTAACCATTTGTTTCATAATCATACGTTCGCGCGCCAACCGCTCACCCGCGTCCGTCATTCGTTTGTTGGTCATTCAATGTTTTGTGGTGGCAGGTTTCACTCTTTTTCTATATCCTACATGAGATTGAAGAATAACTAATCAGACCTAGGTTGGTAAGATATGAGTTACTTATTTTCAATAAGTAAGCTAAGTCATGGGGTTTGAGATTGAGAGGTTTATTAGTCATTACAATTGTCATAAGCTAAGGTGTCTAAATAAAGTAATTTTTTATGTAGGTAGACGAGGTCTACTATATTTCACCTGAGATTGTAGATAACTAATCAGACATAGGTAGATGAAATATGAGTTAATGATTTTCATTAAGTAAGCTAAGTCATGGGGTTTGAGATTGAGAGGTTTATTAGTCATTACAATTGTCATAAGCTAAGGTTTCTAATGTAATTTATTACGTAGGTAGGCAGGGTCTTCTATTCTACCCCACAACTTTTTGGTGTGTTTTTTTGTTTTATGTTACCATACGTTTGCGCGCCAACCGCTCGTCCGCGTCCGTCATTCGTTTGTTGGTCAATCAATGTTTTGTGGTGGCAGGTTTCACTCTTTCTCTATATTCTACCTGAAATTGTATTATTAGATTAACTAATCAGATATAGGTAGGTGAGATATGACTTAATAATTTTCAATAAGTAAGCTAAGTCATGGGGTTTGAGATTGAGAGGTTTATTAGTCATTACTAGTGTAATAAGCTAAGGTTTCTAATGTAATTTATTACGTAGGTAGGCAGGGTCTACTGTTCTACCGCTCAACTTTTTGGTGTGTTTTTTTTGTTTTATGTTACCATTTGTTTCATCACCATACGTTTGCGCGCCAACCGCTCGCCCGCGTCCGTCATTCGTTTGTTGGTCATTCAATGTTTTGTGGTGGCAGGTTTCACTCTTTCTCTATATTCTACCTGAAATTGTATTATTAGATTAACTAATCAGATATAGGTAGGTGAGATATGACTTAATAATTTTCAATAAGTAAGCTAAGTCATGGGGTTTGAGATTGAGAGGTTTATTAGTTATCACAAGTGTCATAAGGTGATTTATTATGTAGGTAGGCAGGGTCTACTACTTTACCACAACTTTTTGGTGTGTTTTTTTGTTTTATGTAACCATTTGTTTCATA